GAGCAACAATCCTTCCAATGACTTCCGTTGGCTTGAGATCTTTGTAGTTTGGCATCATTTGGATCAATGTGCACATGGTATCATACTTTCCATCCAATGCTCTTAGGATCTTCTTGATGATGAATCTGTCGGTCATCTCTTCACTCCCTAAGCCGGCAATCTCATTTGTAATAAGAGCAAGCCTAGAGTACATTTCAGCGACACCTTCACCATCCTTCATTTTGAACTTGTCAAGCTGACTTTGGAGCACATCTAACTTGGATTCCTTGACGGATTCGGTACCTTCGTGCATATCAATCAAAGTGTCCCAAATTTCCTTTGCATTCTCAAGACGACTGATTTTGTTGAATTCTTCGGGGCACAAACCGTTGAAGATGATATCACAAGCTTGAGCGTTGTATTGCAGCATCTTCAATTCTTCCGCATTAGCTTCACGGTTCGGCTCTCTCCCATCAAAGAATTCACCTTGCAAGCCAATACAAATAATAGCCCAAACGGCGGGGTTATGTCCGAGAATATGAATTTTCATCTTATGCTTCCAACTAGCAAAATTACTACCATCAAAGTAAGGACCTCTACGGTGATAATTTCCCTCGCTAGACGCCATACTCTCCTAGGTTGTGAAACCAAGGCTATGACCACCAAAAGCTATGGAAATCAAAGCAAATGGAGACCAAAGCTTTCATACTACTTGTAGGATCTTGAAGTATGTCTAGAGGGGGGTGATTAGACTACTTGACCAATTAAAAACTTAACCTTTTCCCAATTTTAGAGTTTGGCAGATTTTAGTTATCTTAGGACAAGTCAAGCAATCATCACACAATTCAAGCAAGCATGCAAAGAGTATATAGGCAGCGGAAATTAAAGCATGCAACTTGTAAGAAAGTAAAGGGAAGGGTTTGGAGGATTCAAATGCAGTTGGAGACACGGATGTTTTTGGCGTGGTTCCGATAGGTGATGCTATCGTACATCCACGTTGATGGAGACTTCAACCCACGAAGGGTAACGGTTGGGCGAGTCCACGGAGGGCTCCACCCAAGAAGGGTCCACGAAGAAGCAACCTTGTCTATCCCACCATGGCCATCGCCCACAAAGGACTTGCCTCACTAGCGGTAGATCTTCACGAAGTAGGCGATCTCCTTGCCCTTACAAACTCCTTGGTTCAACTCCACAATCTTGTCGGAGGCTCCCAAGTGACACCTAGCCAATCTAGGAGACACCACTCTCCAAGAAGTAACAAATGGTGCGTTGATGATGAACTCCTTGCTCTTGTGCTTCAAATGATAGTCTCCCCAACACTTAACTCTCTCTCATAGGATTTGGATCTAGTGGAAAGAAGATTTGAGTGGAAAGCAACTTGGGGAAGGCTAGAGATCAAGATTCATATGGTAGGAATGGAATATCTTGGCCTCAACACATGAGTAGGTAGTTCTCTCTCAGAAATGGTAAGTTGGAAGTGTAGGTTTAGTCTGATGGCTCTCTCCATGAATGAAGAGGAGGTGGAGGGGTATATATAGCCTCCACACAAAATCTAACCGTTACACACAATTTACCAAACTCGGTGGGACCGATTCAACAGACTCGGTCGGACCGATTTAGTAAACCTAGTGACCGTTAGTGATTTTCGGTGGGACTGACATGCAACTCTGTGAGACCGATTTGGTTAGGGTTAGGGCATAACGTAATCTCGGTAAGACCGATTACACAAACTCGGTGAGACCGATTTTGGTAATAAGCTTTCCAGAGAGTTGGTTAGGTAAACTCGGTGGGACCGATTTGCTCTTTTCGGTGAGACCGAAATGTTACAAAAGGGAAACAGAGAGTTTACATTGCAATCTCGGTGGGACCGATCGCTCACTTCGGTTTGACTGAAATGTTACGAAGGGAAACAGAGAGATTACAATCCCATCTCGGTGAGACCGAGATCCCTATCGGTAGAACCGATTTGCCTACGGTTTGTGGCAGTGGCTATGACATTTGAACTCGGTGGCGCCGGATAGGAAGAATCGGTGTGACCGATTTTGGCTTTGGGTTTAGGTCATTTGTGAATGTGAGAAAGTAGCTGAGGGTTTTGGAGCATATCACTAAGCACATGAAGCAAGAGGCTCATTAAGCAACACCTCATCCCTCCTTGATAGTATTGGCTTTTCCTATAGACTCAATGTGATCTTGGATCACTAAAATATAAAATGAAGAGTCTTGAGATAATGAGCTTGAGCCAATCCTTTGTCCTTAGTATTTTGAGGGATCCACTTTCATCATCCATGCCATGCCATTCATTGAGCTTTCCTGAAATATATGTCTTGGAATAGCATTAGCTCAATGAGCTATATGTTGTTATGAATTACCAAAACCATCTAGGGATAGTTGCACTTTCAACCTTCCATTGCATCCCGATTCCAGAGGGCTATGCTCGTGTCATGGTTGATGAAGTGGTGGAGCCATATTCGATGCTAGCACTTGACATTGCTGGAGGTGACGGTGAGCGCACACTGGGAGAGGCCGTACATCGTAACATCCTATGGAGAAAGGATTGCATCATCTTTCCAAGTGCACCGACACCGCGTTGTCTGCCGACTCCTCCTCGAAGTCCGCCACCTAGTCAGCAGTCCTCCAAGTCCACGAACGCGTGAGCCGACTCCTCCTCGAAGTCCGCCACCGAGTCAGCAGTCTCAAGCTAGCTATGTAGTGATAATTTTGATTAATCATTACATGTAATTATCCTCACTATATTCTTTTCTGTGGTATTATATGCAGGATGAAGATGTATGAAATGAAAAAATCTGGACGCTATGGCATTGGGTGCATTGACCCAAATACCATTAATGAGTACATATGGAAGCTTCCAATTTATCAAGCAGGTGTAGAGGAAAGCATGCTAGAGTTCTTGAAGCGCCTCAATACCAATGAAGATATACTACTTCCTTACAACTTCATGTTAGTCACACCTTCTTGTAATAAAAATTTTGTTTTTGCTTACTAGCTAGCTAGATGTTAATAATTAAGTGTATACGGTTTACGATAGTTGATTAATTTTATGCACCTGCCTGCTTAATTAAGACATGCAAACGTGTGCGCATGCAGTTTCCACTAGATCTTGTTAGACATTAAAGTTGAGGAAGGAAGAGTTGAATTACTGGACTCACTACTTAAAGAAGATAAAGACTACACCATCGTGAAGGGGATAGTCAACAGGCAATTTCAATCATTATTAACTATATCTCGGCCTATTATTAGTTCGTCATTTTCTGATATGAACTATTTAATAACCCCTTTATTAATTTTCTTTGCCGGCGGGCAGGGCATGGGCAAAGTTCATCAATGTGACTCCAGGCAAATGGGCAAAAAAGTTGTTTTGGCATCAACCAAAGGTAAGTAATTAAGTAGTACTAGCTAGCTACCATCTCTTTAATTCTTGTTTCAATATCATTAATTAATTATCATGCTTGATTAATCATTATCTGATTCAATTCCATTCTCGTAAAGGCCCTGAAGCAGGCGGGGGAATGATCTATGTGCATTCTACATTTGCGAGAACATTCGCATGATGGCGTCCGAAAGGAGCAGATCTGATAGACAGGACTGGGTACGTTTGTCAAAACACTATTCACACCATTATCGATATCTAGTCACACAACTAATACACATGCATATTGATCTCCTTCTTAATAGTTCAGAGAGGTGCGGGATAAGCTCCTACCAGCGACCGCATACTAGCACTTTAAGAGGAAATAGCCGGATTTTTGCTCGACCGGGTCATAGATACCAAAGGAGAATACTATTACCCGCTACCGCCCCCATGAACCACTTGTCATCGTGCTCCGGAGGCACCAAGGCAACATGTAGGAGAAATTGTATATGTATATACATGTGTATGTGTGAATAATTGATGGTGTTGGTTGTGAGACATTCGATGATATATATTTATATATATATATGCGGTTCTACGTACGAGAAAATCTATTTATATATATGCATAACGTGTACAATTTGTAGTATCGTGAAATACCAGCAAACAAAAAAAATTGAATGGAAAATAAAGCCAACCCCCCCCCCCTAAACATTTAGTACCGATTGGTGTTATCAACCGGTACTAATGTCCTACGCGCACCCGGGCCTGGCTCGTGCCACGTGGTGACACTTTAGCGCCGGTTCATGAAAAACCGGTACTAAAGGGGGGGAGGCTTTAGTCCCCACTCTTTAGTGCCGGTTGCCGAACCGACACTAAAGGCCGTTACGAACCGGCACTAAAGGCCGGTTCTGCACTAGTGTGAATTGGCATCCACGTGGGAAAAGCTAGACAAAACCCCTCAAAAAGTAGATATGGGTGGGTGTTTTAGTGGTGCTTAGAGTTACGAGTTGCATTTTAAATGATATTGAACCTGAGGGTTGTAATTTAACTCTACTACAATTTCAAAGGTTCCACATGAAATCTTTCTCTTCTCCTTGCATATGCAAGATGTAGCATTTAGAAAAACTAGGATCTCGAGGGAGATAGAGTGTGGTCCAAGGATGAGAATGGGCTGAGTTAGAGGAGGAGGAGGTAGTGACCCGGTTCCCTATACCCCCACATAAGTGCTTACACATACGAGGGATTTGATGTCACCAAATATCACCCATCCCGCTTAATAGGTGGTATATAAGTTACTCGAGCATGTCCTCTCCAATGACACACAATGTTTAGACCTAATAGTATAATTTAGATCATATATCAACACACTTGTATGTGTACATATCGATATGCATTACATTCCGTGTCCATATCTTTACTTGATAGAAAGAAAATATTACTGCAATCTGCATCTACACCAAGAGAATTCACACAATCATCACAATGTTATTATTACAACATTCAATGCAACCACATCAACCACCAGACAAGCAAATCAAACTAACTTGACATGTTGGCATAAACACCCATTCTTATTATGAAGTTGAAATACAAGTGGAAGAACATGATGACGAGGGATCTCAAGGGGCAATAAGCCACGTCCATATACTTATACATAACCAGATTGTACATACGGAGTAGCTCTCAAATGCAGCTCTACCTTTTTCCTTACTCCCATCCCAAAAGTCTCAGACATGTCCAACGAATGCGAATTCTCTCCATCAGGAAGCACCCATTCAAAGTGGTAGAGAAGATTCGCCAATGCAATCTCCACGGCAGACGTGCCAAACAGAATCGCAGGACACTGTCGACGACCTGCCCCGAAGGGGGTGAACTCAAAATTTGTTCCTTTAAAATCAACATTGCTATTCTCAAACCTCTCTGGGTTAAATGCCTCTGGGTTGTACCAATATCTTGGATCCCGAGAAATTGCAAATGCATTAACATGTATCTTTGTGCCTTTGGGAATGTGATAACCCATGATTTCACAGTCCTCTCTTGACTCACGGGGGACAAGCATAGGGTTGGGAGGATGCAACCTAAGAACCTCCTTGATAATGATTCGCATGTAGTTGAGTCCACCAAGGTCAGTATTAGTGATGACACCTCGTAGTGCACCTAGAACGCTTCGAACCTCTAGTTGTGCCTTTGCCATAGTCTCGGGTTTTTTCAACAGCTCCGACATAGCCCACTCTACAGTGGATCCTAGGGTTGTAGTAGCGCCTCCGAATATGTCCTGAAGCAATAGCTATGTTATGCACAATTTATAAAAATATAAACAAAATATATTAAGACACTATTTTTTTTGAGGAGGTTAAGACACAAACTGTTGAAGCAAATAAGAGTGAGGATGACATAACCTATCAAACTAGTCTAATGGAGGAAAAACTAGTACTCTCTCACGAGTTCATTAGACACGAGGCATACAAGAACAAGACTACTTTCTTGTTGGTGAGAACAAGACTACTTGAATCACATTAATAGCGTAGGAGGCCAAATTATTCTTCTACGTAGTACTATTCAAAATGGAAGGAGTACTTACAAACATGATGGCGCCAATAGTCTCAGGTGTCAGAGGGAAAGCAAGTGAATCCTGCTTCTGCAGCCTGAGCAGCACGCCCAGGAAATCCTCTTGATCCCCGTTGGCAGCGATCTCCGCATTGCGGCTCTCGACGATACTCGCAATGATGCGCTGGATGCAGCCATAACTCCCGCGGAGGCGGCGCTCGACGGTGCTCAGCCGCCGCACGATCCGCGACGACGGGAAGAAGTCCAGCGGGAAGAACCCGGCCACCAGCTCACTTACTTGGTCGTAGGCGAGCACGAACTCGGACTTCTCCCCCGCGCACTTGCCACCGAACATGGCCATGGCGACGATGTCGTTCGCCAGCGCCGACGCCTTCTTGCTGAGGTTGACGAAACCAGAGGCCGCCGCAATGGAGCGGAGGAGGCGGCCCACCTCGTCGGCCCTTATGGACTCCACGTGCTTCACCTGCTTGGCGTTGAGAAGCTCCATGATGCAAATCTTCTTCATCTGGCGCCAGCGGTCGCCGTAGGGGGCGAAGCCGATCCCCTTCCCGCAGCAGCCGACGATGTTGATGGTCACGCTGCTCGGTCGGGAGGCGAACGACAGGTCGTGGGTCCTCATCACCAGCTCCGCCGCCTCGGCGCTGGAGACGACCAAGGTTGGAACCTCGCCAAGCCTGAGGAACATCAGGGGTCCATGATGGTGAGACAACTCCCTCATTGTGCGGTGTGGGAGGCCACGCAAGACGTGGTGGAGGCTGCCGATGAACGGAAGGCTCCATGGCCCGGGAGGCAGCTGCTTCTTGTGTAATTTGCTTTTGTTGCCGTAGGCTGTGAGTTTAAGAAACAAAAGGAAAAGTATCGTGGCTTGAGCAATAAAAGAAAACATGCTTAACACCTCCATGGACAGTTAATTGGCAACTAGAGGAGATTAGCCTTGTTTCTGGGCTTTGAGCTCGATGATAGATAGCATACTTATAGGATGTAGCAAGAACGATGAAGTTAACCCTGGAGCGTGCATGATATGATGGATGTCATACTTAATTAATCTTATTGCTCCATGCGGTGGTTGTAGCATGATGCATGTGTGCATGCATGCAGCAGCTGCTGCGCGCATCTGGACGACTATGCATGATTAGCTTTCCCAAAACACACTCCAAATTGAGGAAGGAACTAATCCAAGTATTGTAATTCGGACTCTATATGTCGACTATGGATGAATAGCTTGCGCTTGTCGATACAGAGCTCTCATCAAAGTATAATTTCTACTTACTTGTGATCGAGTACACATGAAAGTAAGTAGCTCAATTATGAAGCCTAATGCAATGCCAAGTATGTACATATTGCTTACATGCCAACAAGTTTTGCCCGGCTCCGGCGAGGGAGGGGCGATGGCGGTGCACCTTCGGCTCGCTTCAGTGCTGGTAGTCTTCGTTAGGTGGTCTACCGATCTGGATGTAAAAGATGAATAGATTGAAGGTTTTCCCGCAAATTTTTTTGAGAAAAAGAAGATGTTGGTATCATATCATGATACCAGATCATAACAAATGATATGTTAATATGTGCCATACAAAACAATAATGGCATAATTTAAAATGCCTACCTATGATATTATGCACTGCAGAGGTGGACACTAGTATCATATGCATGATACTGGTATATGATACTCCTCACTACAAACAGCCTTATGGCATTCGGTAGAATGGTGATAGTTATCTTATTTACGTGAACAACTCGTAACTTCGCTAAGAGAATGACATTGCTCTGCTACATTGTACACACTTCTAGAATTTGCCCAGGGTCAAAAACAGTAGAGACTAATTTGAAATATTATCTACAAGGCGGAACAAGAGGTCAATTATCTATCGTTGATCATGTCTTGATATAATCTAAGCATATAGAAATGGAGTGCGACTCCGATGGTGCTCCCACCGATCTGTATACACAGTTCCACCTTCTCCCTTCTCCAACGGCTGCAACGGAGGTTGAAGATGGTGACTCGATGAGTTGATGCATAGAAGGACTTTTTTTGTACTTTTTTGTTTTATAGCGATTTTTTTTTCTCGTGTTCTGGGCAAGCTGTCCCTCCAATCCCTTCTCCAGAAAGATACTACATGTGTTGTAACCCCTTCATATGATATGAATGGAACACGTAGACGCTCTTTTAATACATATAATACATGAATAAACATAAGAGATTACAGAAATGGGCAGGGTAATGAAAATACATAAAGGACACCCCAACTGCTCCCACCCACAGACAATGTAGGGTGCTAATTATTTTGCAATTGGTACACCTATCTGTTTCATATTCAAAGGAGTGTCACCACACAACATAGAAAAGGTAAGAGTGTACACAGTCATACATCCAAACAATCGGTGACTCATTTCCGAGCCCAGCTGGTCATATCTGCATTTGAAAGCATGAATTACTATTGATTAAAGGAAATAAAAGAGGACAATGGAAATTGATTGGTTTAAAATTTAAGGACGCTGAAATCGATTTTCATGTTCTACATTCTTGGCTCAATATGGGTGGTACCATCAGAGCTGTTTATTTACACAGTCTGAAAGACTATACTATTTAACATAGTCTCTTATGCGTAGTGTAGATGTGATAGTGTAATGGTTTGAATTTTGAGGGGTTATATATGCAGGATAACTCACACCAGAGGCTTTTGTTACCGTAGGATGTGAATTTAAGAAACAAAAGGAAGAGTATCGTGGTTTGGGTAATAATAAAAAACATGCTTAGCACCTCCATGGCCGATCAGTTAATTGGCAACCGGAGGATTAGATTGTTTCTGGCTCGATGATAGATATAGCATACTTATAGGATGTACTCCCTCCGTTCCTAAATATAAGTCTTTTTAGAGATTCCAATATAAACTACATAAGAATAAAATGAGTGAATCTACACTCTAAAATACGTCTATATACATCTGTATGTAGTCCATATTGAAATATCTAAAAAGCCTTATATTTCGAACTGGAGGGAGTAGCAAGCAAGAACCTGCAAGTTAACCCAGGAGCATGCATGATATGATAGGTGGCATACTTAATCTTAACTCCCATGCGGTAGTTATAGCATGAACTCATGATGCATGTGTGCATGCAGCGGCTGCTGCGCGCATCTGGACTATGCATGACTAGCTTTCCCTGTACACTCTCCACGTTGATCAAGGAACTAATCCAAGTAATGTAATTTGGACCATGTTGACTGTGCATGAATAGCTTGCATGTCCATATGGAGCAATTTGACCAAAGTAATATAATTTATACTTTACTTGTGATCAAGTACACATGAAAGTAAGTAACGTAATTGTGCAGCCTCATGCAATGCTAACTAGACATATTGTTGACATAAGCCACAGTATTAACTGAGAAAAGAGAAGATGCTAGTACTATTATATCATCATACCGTATAGTAATAAATGATACCCCCTCCATTCCACAATGTAGTGCGCCCACGTTTCCCGAAAGCTAAGTTTGACCATAAATTTAACCAACAAGACCGATTGCGGCGGGAACAAAAATTATACCACTAAATTTGTATTTCAATTCGAATTCAGTGGTATAAATTCTACTCCCGCCGCAGTCGGTCTCGTTGGTCAAATTTATGGTCAAACTTAGATCTCAGGAAGCGCGGGCGCATTACATTGTGAAATGGAGGGAGTATGTTAATATGTATCATGCAAAACGACAACGAGGTCCTACAGATCTAGAAGGTAGGCTAGTATCATACTAGTATATGATACTCCCACTACAGACAACCTTATGGCATATATGTCATATAGTATTAATTGGTCTAACTAATGGTCAAGGTAAATCAAAACAATCAGGCCTTACCCAGACAACGGGAGTAAGCGATTAAGCTTAAACAACACAGTGTGCATGCACTTTGAAAATAGTATTATCTAAAAATTGTCCAACTTGAGAATGAATATATTGCTCCTCAATATTATCTTCAATCACGCCATTCTTCATTAAAAATTATAGCGAGACATCACATGCATAGTCTCCATCAATTGTCATGATTAGTATCAAAACAAGATCACATTCATTTTTACCCGTAATCAAAAGCGCTTCATAACAAACAACGTTAGATAAGATATGATGTTTACATTCTATGTGATCCTTCCACCAATAGCCGAACAAACTGATTTATCTAAAATTATTTGGTTTCCACTTGCTTCTATGTAGAATAGATCAATAACAGCAATTTCTTGAAATAAAATAAAAAGTAACATCCTAAAATATAGTTCAGAGATATCCAAATAATCAAATTCAACTCCAAGCCAACTCACATAGTTCAAGCAGTATGATACGAATGTTTCAAAGACAGAGGGATCACCTCTAATCACCTTTAGTACAACACCCCCGCCCCAAAATCCCCAACCCACCCAAGTACATGGAAGATGGAACCTACCAAGGGAAGGGAAAAAATCATATGGAAACCAACATTCGATGGAAACCGGTGAAACCCACGAGAAAATGATGTTTTGAAGTTTCAAAAAAATATGGAAAGTTAAGCGGGTAATGTTCTATTGCCATGCAAAATTTCAAGTTCAAACATGTTACGGCATGTGAGCTATAAAAAATCCCAAGGGACTAACTATACCAAACCGCCTTCCACCCCGGCCCCAGATAGAGTGTGGTCAGAAAAGTTAGGGTTAGAAAAAAAATCCTTAGGCCCATCTTGTAACCTTAGCATATCTACAATGTATATTTCTTTTGCTCGATCGATATCATCTAAAGAACAAAAAATGACAAGTACACAATAAAATATTTATTAGGGTTATCTCTTGGAACTTTTGTTCATATGTTCGTTAGCAATAGCATTGTTAAAGCATGAACGTGTTTTTGAATCATATTCGCTTTTGGTTGTGCTAGCACTTTATCTACTTTGTTTGCCCTTTCTTTTTGCCTTGTTATCTAAAATAGTGGATATTGAATAATGTGCAACAACATGATGCTTGTGTGCAAATTATTCAACATGCATTGTTTTAGATTATATCATGACATAAGGAGAGGCTGGGGGCTTTTCCTTCTTTTCAAAAAATATGTGATGATTAATATTCATTAAGAAACTGTGTGATAATTGATAGCATTTGATACAGTGATGATATGTTAGCTTATTTAGGTGAAGAAATCTTAACATAGCTAAGAGAATGATAACATATATTTTCTCCTTTCTGTTTTCTCAATCAACAGTTATTAGTCTGTTACATTGTATACCGTCCTAGGATTTATTCAGGTAAAATATTAGAGACTAATTTAAAATATCATCTGCATGGAATAACAAGAGGCCAGTTATCTATCGAGGATCTATGTCATGATATAATCTAGGGGTGTGTCTCCGATGATACCCGTCCACTGCAGTTCCACCTCTCCCTTCTCTACGGTAGCAACGGAGGTTGAAGACGGTGACGATGAGTTCATGCATAGAAGAATTTCTTTCTAGTTTTCTGTTTTATATGTATTTTTCTGTAGTGTTCTGGGCAAGCTGTCCCTCCAGCCCATTCTCCAGAAAGATGCTATGTGTGTTGTAACCCCTCAATGTGATACAAATGGAACACGCGGACGCTCTTTTGCAACATATAATGTAAGAATAAACATAAAGACATTACAAAAATGGACAGGTAATAAAAATACATAAAGGACAGCCAACTGCTCCCATTGAAGACAATGTAGGGTGCTAATTATTTTGTAATTATCACAACAATAAAACAAGAGTCCAACTGATGCATATGTGTTTTATATTCAAAGGAGTGTCACAACACAAGAAAGATAAAGGTAAGGGTGTACCCAGTCACCCATCCAAACAATGTTCTCTACATCTACATTCAAAAGCATGAATGTGTATCGATTAAAGAAACTAAAAAAGAACTTTGGAGATTAATT